TTTCTCTCTCGTTTAAGTCGAAATTTAATTTTTTTTGCACAGATAAATCAGATTAATTGTGCTCTTTCAAATGATATTCACATTGATATATTTTTAGTACAAAAAAAAATTGAATAATTTTTTACCAGTCATTACCATATGGTATGCTCCATATGGTAAGAAAGCTTACCATGATGATATGAACATACCAATATGGTAAGAAGGTTGAGTACATAATTGTAGCAGTATACTAACTATATCATTTACGACTTTCATCATTGTTTATTACAAGTTACCACAAGTTACCGCCCACATACCATAGTGGTAAAGTATGATAATTTTTTATCCAGTGTTTTTTTCACCCAGAAATTTATAGATCCAATAGATCATGATGAACTCGTTGCTTCTAAGCAAACGTTTTCAAAAACGACTTGAAAACGAAGAAGTTACCATATGGTATGTAGTTGGTAAAAAAAAAAGTTTCTCAAAATATATTGAAAATTGATCTCCTTTTGTAGGGCACAACAAACTCGTTCCATCTGTGCAAAAAAATTGAGATCCGAGTTAGAACGAAGAAGATAAGAGCCGATTAAGAAAACTAGGCAAAATAAAATGTCTTTATTTGACAACCCTTAGATTTGAATTTTCTGGACTCATTTAGATCTAAAGGTCCAGATTTAGTTACTCAATGGTTACTGACCCTATCCTAAGCCCCTGAGGGCGTTGTTGACTGTTGCTAGGAGTGGATATACGGTCCGGTTAAATTGGCTCAAATTGATCCGGTCCAGTTCGGTCTTTTTGAAAATATAAGGACCAAAGATTGGATTGGATATAGTCCGCGGTCCGGTCCCAATTCGGTCTTGATTTTATATTGAACTTGTGGGGATTTGAGTGGTCTAAGGCCTGAAAGGGTGAGGAGTTGGTTAAGTTTTGTACTAAGTGCAAAGGTTTGTGACCGTTTATGCAAATTACCCTTAAGTTTTGGGTGTTGAGCTCTCTTATCTGGTCTTTATCCAGTTTTTGATTCGGTCCCAAATGATTTTTTTACCTCAAATCTAAGCCCAAAGATTGGATTGGATTGTTTACTATCCGGTCAAAGTCCGGTCTCGGTCTGGGTTATACACTCCGGTTTAGGGTAAAACCAAAAATCTCGGACCAAATAGCCAGCCCTAGCTGTTGCTATGATATCTCTAAGCAATGTATAATAGGTGGAAGGGAAAAATTGTTGCTCCGTTTCAAACTTTTTCTAGCATAATATATATTATGCTATATTTATATCTTAGTGGCTAAAATATAATGTATTTTAAAGTTATTCAATGGTTCAATCTCGACCAACCCAATTAGTCCAATTTTTATCATAATGATTAAATTATATTGTATTTTATAGGAAATCGTTTGGTATTTGTTAGTAAGAAACTAAACAGAGAAAGATCTATTTGGTTATTTTTAACATTAAAACGATCCTAAACATTTTCAGTTCCTTTTCGAATTTCTATGGTTTTATTCCCGAATTAGTGATGTGCAAATGACGAATTGCAGTCATCTCTTTTCTTTCACTATTTTTTATTTTCAAACAGAAAGTTTAAAAGTAAAGAATAATTAGAGTTTAGCATGGGTCGGTCAAACAGGCTGAATTTCAAGTTTTGGCCTGTTTTCATCAAGTCTGATTTATAATCACATGGTTCCCTGATACCCGATAAAAATCTCAATCCAAACCAGTTTGGCAAGTGAGTCTGTATTTACCACAATTTTCTAGGGATACAGGAACAGGGGTTCCTGTCCCAAACCGTGTTGTTTGTTCTTCATTTCTTTAGATTTTATCATGGTATGGCAAAAACCAAAAAGCACCATGACGATAAGATGAAAGTTTTATAAAGCAAATTAATCGGTCAACGGGCCGAGTAAAAGCTAGCAACGATTGCGAGATGCTCATTTCCCGAAAACCGACGACATATGCGATATTTAATTCGGTTTTCTGGAATTCGGTTTCTATAAAACTATCTCCACCTCATCATATTACCGAAAACAATATTGTTTCACAGGGTAACATGTACTTGATTTTGGTTCATAAGGCTGATTTTTGATTCGTTGCATCATTCATGTCTCTTTCCTGCTAAAATTCACTATTTTTATCAAATTTCATACCTCATCTTCCTCCGGCCTACTGGGCGGGGCCAACGCTAGTGCTATTATAGTGACACGGCCCACAACCGGCCGGTCTCATTTCTTCGGTTACTCCCTCCAGCTTTGGACACTTCATCGTCCCTCAAAGACCACGAGAAACAAACTTGTAATTGGTCTCAGCAATAGTCGGTTAATTAGTTGCCGCAACCCTAGGGCCGGCCAGACCGGGCTGACCATCTTGTCCTCTATATTCGGAATGGGATACCGTCATTTTCCCTAAACGAGTTGTAAGATTCACAATCAAAGGCATTTTGGGTATGAAAAAAATGAATTTATTAATAATTTTTATATTAATTACACATTGGAAATTAAAAACTCATATTAAATACATTTTATATAAAAAAAATCTGAACCCTACAATTTACACAATTATATCTTTCTCTATCTCTCTCTTCTTTTTTCATCAGCCTTTCCGCTCCGATCAACAGACTTTTTCCGGTGATATCATTCATTTAGACCCACTCCAGCCACCTACAAAATAGTACCACTTCGTCAGTGCGCTAGTGGTAGTGATTTTTGTCTAGTGGTACGCTACCACTACTCACTAGTAGCGATACTAGTGGTAGTGGTACGTACGCTACCAATGATAATGGTACACTACCAGTACTCACTAGTAGCGTTACCAATAGTAGTGGTACACCACTACTCACTGGTAGCGTACCACTAGAGACTAACACAAAAAAAAAAAATCAGATCTAGAATTTGAAAAATCATAAATTTGTGAAAAAAATTGGGGGCTGAGGAAAGGGGGAGCAAGGGGAGAGGTGATGACCTGGCGGAGGAGGCGGCGGTGGGAGACGGAGAGTGGCGGGAGGGCTGCAACGGGGAGAGGGTGATGGCTAAGACGATGGTGGGAGGCAGAGGGCGCGATGGTTGCAGCAGGAGGGTTGAGGAGGTGGTGGGAAGCGGAGGGCGTGACATGGCGATGGGAGTGTTGCGGCGGTGGTGGGAGGTGGAGGGAGCGACGGGTCGGCGGGAGGACTGTGGAGGTGGTGGCGGCAGAGAGAGAGAGAGGGAAGTGATGGTAGGAGGATGAAGAAGAAGAAGAAGAGGAAGTTGGTGATAGGTAGATAGATAGATAGAGAGAGAGAGAGTTCATGTAGGATTTTAGATAAATTAATAGGGGTAGTAATCTAGTGTGATAAATCTTTTTCGTCCAAAAATTCCATTAATCCAATATGTACAATTAATTTGAAAATAAGAAGAAAGAGAAGGAAATAGAAGGTTAAGATGTGTGTTGCCATTTTGACAACCCTTAAAAGAGTTGTCACCCTATCTCATCCCTCCATACTGTATTGGGATATGGTGACCCAAAGTTGATCCGATGGCCAAAGAACGCAAACATGTTTTTGAAAAAAACGACCAAACAGTAAAAGTTCATGCTCCATCAGTTACACCAACGCGTCCATTCTGATTGAAAATTACGATCTAATGTTCACCTAGACATATCAAATGGTAGTATGGGATTCCTAAGCAAAATTGGTCATTCTAGCCAAGAGGTCGAACATATAAGCAAAGAAGTCGATAATTCCAGAGAAGGGGTCGGCCGTACAAACGCTTGACCCTCAAATTGAAGAAATCGTCCCCTTGAACTAAAAAGTAGGTTAAAATGAATGCCGGTTTCACGGTCGAGCTCGTACAAGAAGTCGAGCTCTTACTGAAAAATAAGACAACAATCATTTGAATTATTGCCTATTATGTTCATCATGCCCATTTAACCCAAAACATTGCGAAAAGAGAGGAAAAGAACCTAGATTCGATTGGAGAGGAACACAAGAACGTATCGGCAACATCACCCAGATCCGCTGGAAGAAATAAGAACCCAAGCTCCTCAGAATTCAACGTTGATGTCCAACAATGCCTTGATTTGCCCATCAAACCTCTGCACAAGAACCCAAAAACCAGAAATCAACCCACAATTTGCCCACTGACGGAAGAAACAAGAGTTGTGACTGAAACTAGTGACACGATGGTGGGCTGGAGGAGGAGGAGGCTAGGATTGGAAGGAGAGGATTGGCGGTAGGAGTTACAGTTTTAACGTAGGTTGTATTGGCTGGATCATTCTCATATTGGGGTTAGAGTTGGAACAAACAAAAATGAGATGACGGATTTCAAATACATGGGTGGACATACGGTATTTTGAAATCTCCGCATAGCTGAATTTCAAAATTCCTTAATTTTTAGCATTTCCAAATTAACGAAAAATTGTGCCAAAATCTGGGAAGGACAAGAATTATGACAAAATCGCTATTCAAATTTCCTAACCCAAATGAACCCTAGAGCTAATATCAACCGTCAATAAGGAAAGGGTTACATATAACTCATGGAATATTAGACTTGATAACTCTTTATCCTGAAAACCAGTTAAAATAGATAACATTCATATTTTCCTATATGATAACTCATGTTCTCATAGTAGTTATAAAAAAAAAAGACGAGTTGATCAAATGATCAAACATGTTAAATCCTCCCAATCCATGCAAGACAAATGATCAAATGAATGGGGGGCAAATTGGAAACTAGAAATCGGAATTGGAGACAGAATTAGGTAAAAGTCGAGTAGAGCCCGTGGTTTTTGGTCAAAAGAATCAGCACCGTCAATGCAAACCAAAATTCACCACTCGCATCACTCGAAACAATTATTATATATTTATTTGTTTATTTATGTATAATATTGCCGGACAAATGTCTTAAGTCCTCAACTCTCACCCCAACCAGATCTCCTCAGTCCTCCCTACGTCTATAAATACCCTCCCACTATAAAGTCTTCACCACACTTGCAACGAACAACACTCCTATCGACTCTCAGCTAAATCTTTCTTTTTTCATCTCTCTCTTCTCTCTCTCTCTCTCTGGCACATAATCAATCAATTAGCTGGGTCTGTGTGTATATAGAAAAATGCTATCGAGGAGAGCCAGGGAGTGTCACGGCCAGGAATCTTCATATTTCGCCGGGTGGCAAGAGTACGAGAAAAACCCTTACCACCCTCTCCACAACCCGTCTGGTATCATTCAGCTCGGCCTCGCCGAGAATCAGGTACATGATTTGTAGAGCGATTTTTCTTTTTCCGATATATTAGTAAGTACATTTTTTTGAAATTCATCCTCTCGTTCGTAGACGCTAATAAAATATTTTGGCTCGATCGTTATTTTTTCACACCAAAATAGTAACTTACTCTTTTGTCAATGTGTGTACCATTTTCATGAAACTGAGAAAGGTGAACAAAATTTGTACAAAAAGTAGTGTCCGTATTTCTTGATGTCCCAAAAAGTCATGATGTCCCACTTATCCAATATACACAGAAGGGCTCCTGGTTTTTCCTTAGTCAGATGTAGTTACGTTATTTCGTAACATTTTCTCCCCCTAGTTAAGCACTATTAACCTAATTAACTTGAAGATTAAATTGATTGTGTTTGAATGCTCGAAACAGAACCGTATCGTTTCTCATTTTTGTAAACGTAATTGGGTTAGGCAGCGGCAGCCCACAAAATCTCCCTTTTTCACGCTGCATGCTGCCGCAATTAAAAGGAGATGTGAAACGTGCCCCATTAATCACAGCATTTGATTACTCTTTTAATTTCTAAACGCACGTACAGCCTTTTATGATATTGTCGACAGACATGTATTTATTTAGTATGGTATTTTTTTTTTTTTTTTTTTGACATGGGGTTTGTTTTTCGTCGTGGGGTGGCAGCTGTCGTTTGACCAGCTGGAGTCTTGGATAGCCAACAATCCGGAGGCACTGACGCTGCGGACCGATCAAGGACAATCTATCTTCCAAGACTTGGCTCTCTTCCAAGACTATCATGGCCTGCCTTCTTTCAAAAACGTATACTATACTATATTATACTAAACTAATTAATCCCCTCATGCACCTCGACGCGCTTTTAAATAATCGCGTTTATTACTCTATTAAAATCATTATGTGTACCATTGTCTCCTTAAATGCGATTAGTTAATTCTCTAATAAAGTAATTAGCGTACATACGTCTACTTTGTCGGCAGGCATTAGCGGACTTCATGTCTGAAATCAGAGGAAACAAGGTCAAGTTCGACCCCAACAACCTTGTCCTCACCGCCGGTGCAACTTCCGCCAACGAAACTCTCATTTTCTGTCTCGCCGATCCCGGCGACGCTTTCTTGCTCCCTACCCCATATTATCCAGGGTATATATATATTATATTTAATTAACATTCCACATGTTTGACATATATAGTGGACGTGGTAATGTATAATGGTGCTCGACACTTTTTATTTATTTATTTATTTTTGTGTTGTTTGCTCAGGTTCGACCGGGACCTAAAGTGGCGAACGGAAGTGGAAATAGTCCCAATACACAGCTCAAGTGCAAACAACTTCGAAATCACGACACCGTCGCTCGAGCAAGCCTACGAGCGAGCCACAAAGCAGCTGAAGCTCAACGTGAAAGGGATCCTGGCCACCAACCCGTCGAACCCTCTAGGCACCACGTTAACCCGAGGCGAGCTCGACCGACTCATCGACTTCGCTATGGCCAAGGGAATCCACATCGTCAGCGACGAGATCTACTCCGGGACGGTCTTCGACAGCCCCGACTTCACCAGCATCGCGGAAGCTTGGAGCGCAAGCAAGCGCGTTCACATCGTGTACAGCCTTTCCAAGGACCTGGGCCTCCCTGGCTTCCGCGTCGGTGCGATCTACTCCAACGACGAGAAAGTGGTTGCAGCCGCCACCAAGATGTCGAGCTTCGGCCTCGTCTCGTCGCAGACGCAGCATCTGCTGTCGAAGATGCTGTCGGACAAAGACATGAGGGCGCGGTACGTGGAAGAGAACCGGAGGCGGCTGGGGAAGAGGAAGGACGAGATGGTGTCGGGGCTCGGGCTGGCTGGAATCGGTTGCATGAGGAGCAACGCCGGGTTGTTCTGTTGGGTGGACATGAGGAAGCTGTTGAGAGAGCCGAGTTTCGAAGCCGAGAAGGAGCTGTGGAAGGAGATGTTGTTCGAGGTCGGTGTTAATGTCTCGCCGGGGTCTTCGTTCCATTGCTCGGAGCCGGGCTGGTTCAGGGTTTGCTTCGCCAATATTTCCGAAGAAACATTGGGTGTCGCCATGAAACGTATTGGTGACTTTGCTAGGTTTCGTCGAGGGTATGATAAAACCATTAAGTGGGTATCTGCTGGTACACGTGAAGAACCATATTTAGGACGATGAGAACTTAGATGTGTATCCTTATGAAAGATGAATTAGCTAAATATGTTGTAGCTAGCCATGGAGATTTCAATGTAGATGTTCAAGACTATGTGCGAATCGGTGAATATTATTGGACAAACCTTGTTTTGTCACAATGGTTACGGGATACTTACCGGCTAGTTTGTTTCAACGTTGGTTTAGGGTATGGCTGGGAAAAAGGGAGACCAGATTTGTCAGTTTTGGTTGTTGATGATAAAGGTTATTATGTGCATGCGATGATGAGAACTTGTGACGGTGACGATGGAGTTGGTTGTTTATGTGTGCATATTATATGCGTCCGTGGGGTTTGGTCGGCACATATATGCATATAATTGTGTGTCCGGGTGTTGTAATTTCTTGACAAGTTGGTATGTGTCATGTAAACATTCTGAGTGTGGTGAACTATTATGTTGTAATATAACAATTATTATTATCCGGACAGCAAATATATCTGGTCTGCTCTCTTTTCCTTTTTGTCGATTTGTTGCAAGTGGGAGGCTTGAAAACAAGACGCAATCTCCCCAAAAAGAGTGTTTGGTTCAGTTTTGGTAGACAAAGGGGTGGCAAGGACTACTTTTTTCTTTCTGTTTCTAAGCTTCATCTGTGCATCCACATGGTGGTGGCGGAGTTATACTGCCTCAGCCGCTTGGGTGTTTATTATTGTTATTATCAGGGAAGGGAATAAGGGATGCATATGAAGGGTATAGATACGTGTACTTTCTTAGTTTCTTTGATAGCGTAGAATTGAAAAGTGAGTGATCATTATTTGGTATTGCGGCGGATCCAGGATATAGTAGAGCACTGGGCCGCATTTAGTAGAAAATTGTATACATTAAACAAAAATATATAATAACTATTGTTTTCACGACGGTCTTTTAATTTAGCAAATTCATCAATAATTGAGTTTTCATCATGCCAATAACATACTATCTCTCAAGAAAAATAGCTAAGCAATCAGCCAAAAAAATCATGTCTTGTGCGCCACATTCTATTTTCCCTATATATGTTTGTATCTCAGGATGGATTGCAACGAATTTCAATTGAAATTATTTTATTTATAACTCTCTCAATTCGCGATTTCAATACATATATACCAGTTTGATGGATAGGAATGGCCGAAGAGTTGAAGTGCTTGAGGATAGGCGGAGCTATGGTAATGTGACTGTGTAAAAAATACCTCTTAATTATGCATATATGAAATTGAACTCAAAGTATTTTAGTTTACATAAAAATCCTTTACCACTACGCTACAACTTATGCAAAGTTGTCCATGCTTCCTATTTATTTCGAGAGCTAAACACTTATCGTGATGCATGAATGCATTGGTAACCCACTGTTAATTGCGATCTATTGAGGAGAACAAGTTTGCATGTGCAACATTTTACTTAAAATGCTTATGGTTCAAGTGATGTCGCTTTTTTGTAGGGCGTTTTACTACAAAAATTGCTATTGAAACAAGGGTTTGTTCAAATTTGAATAGATTGGGAATTTAGTTAATAACTATGATTTTTGCTACCTTTTGAACCGTAACACTAACATTTTGAGAGAAAAATCCAACCATAGGGTGAATTGAATTCAGTATGAATATTTAAAAAATCATAAATGTACCACACTTATCATTTTTTTGTCTGGTTTGGAGAAAACGCATACAAAGGCTTTGCTAGATTGGGCTTGGTACCTAGTACCAGAAAGAAAAGAAAATTCAAATGGGCCCTTATGAAATGAGTAGCCCATACTGCTTCTTCCAGGAGGAGGGCTGGGCCCGAGCCCAGTGTGGCCCTCCCCTGGATCCGACGATGATTTGGTAACTCATTTCGAAGATCGGAAAACAAGAAGACACTAGATTTTTTTTTCAATCAGTCACAGAACCAAAAGAAATAACACACCATTTTTTCAATATGATATCGTCAATATTGACACTAATCCATACAGAAAAAATTTCTTTCGAATTTTATAATTTTCTGATTTCTTAACTTCCTTCGTATACAACCAAATATATATAAAGGTTTACTACTACAAAGTACAAACCCTACAGTTACATATTGGTATTTGAACTCTCCCTCAAATTGATTATGAGATTTGAATGTCAATGTCTACTAGAGGCAACAACCTTTGTCAACACGTATGCAGTTTACTCCTCTATGGAAAGATAGTTATTAAGCTGAATTGTTCACTCTGCTACTAGTTGTCTGATATTTGCTTTGTACGATCATGTAACATATAATTTTATCAGTATAGCACTTGTATTGTCCCCATAGATTCTCATATGAGTCTCACATGCAACTCCCAACTCAATAGACAACATTTGCAGCCCTACCATATTGGAACTAACTATTGACATCGACCAATATTTTGCTTATGTAGATGACTTAGAAACTTTATCTTGCTTACGACTCCATTATGATACAAAAAATTGACCAAAACGTACCAATCGACCGAAAGTTGACCTTCTGGTATCTCAGAAACCTGCATTATCTGTATATGTAGAAGCCTTAATCACCCATCTTCCATCAATGGGGAAGAAAATACCCACCTCAGCCGTGTGCTTCAAATAGCGAAGTAGTCGATGTACAAAATTAAGGTGTGTAGTACGTGTTGCTCCCATGAACTAACTTACAACTTGCACTGCATACGCAATATCTGGACGAGTATGAGTTAGGTAGATTAAACTATTTACAATGCTCCAATATAAGGATCGGTTCTCTAGTAGGTCGCCACTTTCCAATGTTAGTTTCAAATTATGCTCCATGAGTGTAATACCTTATTAAAATTCACTTTACTCTGGATGAGTACGAGGATCGATAGATTAAACGATCTACAATGCCCCAATATAAGGATAGGTTCTCTAGTAGGTTACCACTTTCTAATGTTAGTTTCAAATTATGCTCCATGATTGTAATACCTTATCAAAATTCACTTTACTCCATGGCAATCAAAAGATCACAATCTATTTCTTTTGGCTAACAAATAAACTAGCCTCAGATCGACTCACTGCAAGAAACCCACTTCTAGGGTCTCTCGGGACTGATCTTCGGCACCCGCGATTACTCGTAACGAATAGGGAGTTAGGGATCAAGATAAGGAATTAGGGATTTAGATGAGAAGAACATAATAGAATTAGGAGTTGAGAGGATAAACTAGGGTTTAGGGGATTCTTCTGAATATTGTTCTTGACTCCTCATGACGTAAACCCAAAGTACATATTTATGGGGAAATACGGGAAAATCCTAATAATAGTCCTAATACGACTAAATCTCTACTAACCATAATCATAATTATCCTACCTAATATAATAATAAAAACCCCAAATAAATGTGTTTCTGACAATCCATCCCCCTTGAAAACAACATTGACTTCAAGGTTGTAGTTGACTTCTACCTCCTTGACCTTCCGCTTTCTTCGTTTCCAATTGCGTTCCAACTCACGAATGACTTCTTCAACTCCAACGTTCTTCAACTCTTCTCAAATTTCGTAACACACGTCACGTTTCCTATAAACGAACAATTCTTCCTCTTCCTTTTCAAAATCCACGAAATAAGAATTGGAGAATTGTTCTTTCTTGTACTCCAGCTTGAGGCTTGGAAGGAAAAAATACCTAAATTGCTCCATTGGGTTGGTGGTGAAAACAACCCATAAATTTTCTCCACTTTTCTTTCTTTCACCTTGGACTAGGCCTTCATTTAATTTGAAGAAAGAGTTGTGGCCCAAATCATTATCAAGCCTCTTTGTGTTCCTCTCCTTAAATTTGTTGGGCTCGCCCGGCCCGTAACCAGTCTCTTCCTCAGTCCAATTAGTCTCAAGACATGGCACGCCTGCTGAAGCATCTGGCCCAACTCGAGGCTATTGTTGTTCCGCCTCTGACCAGCCCAACTGTGCCTCTCTACTCGGCTCAACCGCACTTGGCCCAACGAGACCCCCACGAGGCCATGCGACCAGTCCGGCCCAGCCACCCGATCAGACCTGTGGCCCAAAGATTCTAGCAGCTGGTTTGGGTGACCTAGAGTTGCAGAGGAGGAGACGTGGCCGCTACCCTTCTTCCTCTTTGATTCTTTCTCCGGCGGCGTGCTATTCCGCCGACGGCAAGACGGTCACCCCAAACCCGCCGCCGTCCTCAACTCCTTCCTTACCGGCAACTTCTCCATCCTCGTCGCCAGCTTCTCCGCCGACTGCGACTCGTCGTTGGTAGTCTCCTTTCTTGGCGGAGTTCCGCCAAGCCGAGGGTACGGCGACCCACCCAGCAGACCACACGCCGAGCCGCGCACGTCAGGTAGCGTCTGCGACTCGGCTTCTCGTCGTCGAACGCTACCAGCGAAGCACTCTTTCTCCGGCGTCCTTCTCTTCGACGAACCGTCCGCCGTTGCTAGATCCGTCTCATCGTGGTTGCTAATTTTGCTTCCCCGTTAGATCTGGTCTCATCCTTCGATGGCGTCAACACCTTCTTCTACGCTTGCTTCTTCGGCGACTTCGTCGTCCACTGCGGCTGGGGCTCGCTCTCAATAGAGGAAGAGAGAGCCGTCGACCTCTCATTTTTCACAAACGGAGCACGTCGGTGGCAAGATTCGCCCATCTCCGACCTCGCGTTCTTCAATGGCAGGTCGTTCGTCGTCTCCTCTTCCCTGTGGAGCACCGCCACAGCTGGAGCCGCCGGCCCTTGTTGGTCTTTCTCGCCATGGATTTCGCCCAGAATTCCCTCCGTGCTCCTGTGGGTATAGCTCGCGTTGGTTGTCAAGGTTGGTGGCGATGACGAGCCGAGGAGAGGAGTTGCGTCGTTGGTAGGTTGCGACAGGAATGGGGTTTCAAACCCTCTCGTCGCCACGCCCTCCTCTTTCTTCCGGAATCGCCAATTCCCAACGCGATTTGGCATTGATCTCCTCACTATGCCTTAAACCTTCATCGACCTGCTTCCTCTCAGTTTTGAAGGCTCGGGAGCCACGTTTAGATTGCCGGCAGCGGGGAGAATCTTGGCGGCGTCGGTTTGCTGCACTCTTGCCACAGTGAGAGTCTCTATCGCTCCTCCTCCATCTGGGGTGTCCACCGAAATAGGAACGACTTCAATTGATGGGATGTTTCCATGACAGCAGGCAGCGGTGGTGAGGGTTGAATCGCGTTAAAGATGACCGCAGCAGTGGTCGCCTGAGGCTGAGTTTTCTCGACCAGCTGCATCTCCTTCTC